CCCCCGCCCGCCCCGGGTCCTCACACAGACGACCTCCTGGCCCCCAGTGACATCCCCCTACCGTCTTTTATGTCCTGCTCACCTCTATTGAGCCCCACTGTGTGCTGGGCAGGACCTGAGTCCCCAGGGTGGCGAGGCCTGACCACACCATGGGGGGCGCTGATCCCAGCAAGCCTGAGGCTTTGGCGGAAAGACAGGGACTCCTGGGAGGAGCAGGCTGCCGGTTGGTGCTGCCTGTGCTGTCCGCCGGCCTCTTACAGTTGAGGCACCCACACAGGGCCGGCTGCGAGGCACCTCCGGGCTCACACCTGTGGGCTCTGGCGGGGGCCCAGAGGGGCCGAGGGGCCGGCCGGCGTCCCCGAGGTGGCGTCGGCCCGTCACACTCACACACTCCCAGGACGTGCAGGCCTGAGCGTCCTGCTGTGTTGCTGTGTCAGATTCTCCTGTGTGAGACACAGTCGGACATGACAGACAACCAGAGCAAATCAGCACAGCGGACCCCGGGCGGCCTCGGGTTGGGGGTCTGAGTTTGGGCTCTCCCAAGGGTCCTGCCCTGAAGCCAGTCTGGGAGGAGCAGGCCCAGTGGGGGCCCACCGGGGGCTGTAGTGAGTGGCTGGCCAGGAGGAGGGAAGGCGCCATTGCTAGTGTGCGGATGGTATGTCCGCCCTGGCCACAGGCAGCCCTCCTGGCCATAGCTTATTTCTGTGACATAACACCCTCGTTCTGAACTGGGACCTGCCCAGTGGCACTAATTGCTGTGGTCCTTGGCCCCATCAGGAAACCAGGGTGTTCCCAGCCCCAGGGAATAGATAGTCTCTCAGTCAGTGTGACGTGGGAGGACACCCGCACCAGGGACGGCATGAGGACCAGGCACAGCAGGGCACTAGGGGGAGATGCTCAGATAGCTGCCTCTTACTTTACTGAAAAGACCACTTAAGACTTCACGATGAACAGAAGTGTGGTTGACATGGCCATTGTCCATCACTGATGTCTACAGCACGTGCCTGTCCTCCATTCCTCTACTGTCGATTGAGTTCTGGCAGAGACGGGCAGCCTGACCCCGCATTGTCAAGTTCAGTTAGGAACCGTGACCCAAAGTGTGGACTGTGGATGTTATCACGTGCTAACTGGTAAAGGGCGCAGCAGTGACACTGAAGACTTCCACGCGAGCAGGTCAGTCTCACCACCTCAGCCAGGCCCACTGCTGCTCCCAGGTTCCTTCCTGGCTGGGGCAGGTTCAGGTGAGGCACCTGTATACATTTGAACCTACTGCGGGCCTGTGGGCTGTAAAGGGGCTGCTCGTCCCCTGGCGACCTGTTCGCTCTGAAGAGCGAGGGTCGTCACTCCCATTGTCATCTATCATGTGGCCTCAGCACCCAGAGGGCAGGATACAACCTCAGAGCCTCCTGCAGGAGGAGGAGTGAGTGGGAGACAACCAGGCCCCACCTCTGTCCATGTCTCTGCTGGGCCTCCCCAGGAGCCTCTGTGGCTCAGTGACACAGGAGTCCAGTGTGGCCCTGAGCTGGGTGCCAGGGGTGACCTGCCAGTCCCTGTCTCAGACTTCAGGGAGGAAATTTCTCTCTGCAGATACCCAGAAGGATTTCCCTGATGCACCTGTGTTCCCCTGACAGAACTCAGTTTTGAGCACTGTACTATGCCCCTGGCTGCTCATGGGACCCTAGACACTAGGGCCTTCTAACATGGCGGAGCAGAGGGGGCCCGTGTTCCTTGGAACTCAGGGCCCCTGAGCAAGCACCCCATGGGCTTCCTGCCTGTCCAGTGGCCAACTGCAGCCTCATGGGTGGGGCTGGCAGGCCTGGCTCTCCCTGGTCCACAGTGTTGCCCAGGGTGGCCCCATTACCTGCAGCATTACCTGCTCTGTAGGAACCTCGTCCCTCGTGGCCTGTCCTTCCTTGTCCAGAGTCGTGATGTGGACAGACAGGGGGACGCCTCCCACAGTGACACTGGCCCCCGTCCTGAGCAGGCGCTGAAGGGCCGGCCCGGTCCTGTGACAAGCAACTGGCCACCTTTCTTGGA